GGTCGGGAAGACCAAGAGTCTGGTTCCTTTGGCTGGGGGGACCAATCAGGGGTGGGGCCCGCCAGCCATTTGCCTGCGGCTCCCCCCCACAGCCGACCTGGCTCTGATTTGGGCCATGATACTTCTTCCCGTCTCCTCCTCCTGACAGGCTAGGCCCCACTCGGCTGATTGGGGCTGGGCCAGCCAGACCCCACCCATGCATGAATTCGTGCACTGGGCCTCTAGTAAATACTAAAATAGAGATATGCACCTATGATACATTTGGGTAAAAGTGGAGTAAACAACCAATTTAGCTTTAGTGCCATAGAGAAAACTTTTGAGAGGGGAATATGCAAATGAGGAAACTTAAATGGAGAGAGTTCCTATAGTGGGAATATGGGGAAAGGTCATTCAAGATAGAGGAAAAAGTAAAATTGTCAGGAAATTTCCAGGAGTAAGGTTTACCCAAAGTGAAGTTGCATGCTAGAAAGTGTCGAGATGACTTGACAGTAGACAGCTGCATTTTGTATATGATCTTCAGAAGTTTGAGCTTCATTCTGTAATTTGTGGAAGATACTTGAAAAATACTGAGTATGATCAGATTGATTCTTATTTTAGCAAGCTTGTAGCTTTTGAGGTAGTTGAGCAAATAAATCAGGAGTTGTAGTGGTTATGGCACCAGGCAAGAGGAGCAGTTAGGATATCATTCCTGTAATCTAGATGAGAGATGATGACAATCATTAAAATGGCAGTGCAAATGACAAGAAAAGGATAGATTCCAGATATGTAATAGATATGGAATCAATAGCATTTAATGCTTGATTGTGGGTAGTGAGCATGAAGGAAGAGTCTAGTATAAATCCCATTTTCTGGAATGAATGTTGGGATTAAATGGGAAAATTTCTCACTAGATTTTTGGAAAAAGTTTTATGTATGTGAATAGTTCCTACAAAATGAATAAGCATATATAGGTAACTTCTGAGTAGGTTATTTCTTTTTTCTTCTTCTTTTATTGCCTAAAGTTTTACATATGTCTCCTTTTTCCCCAATTGACCCCCCCCCCAGCCATTCCCACCCCAGGCAAGCCCCCAGTGTCTGTGTCCATTGGTTATGTGGATATGCATGCATATAAGTCCTTTGATTGCTCCCTAACCCTCTCCCTCCCCTACCATTTGTCTCTAGATCTATCTATTCTTGTTCGTCAACTGAGTAGGTTATTTCTAAGTTTCTCTTTATTTTTGTTTATAGATGCCACTTCAAATGAACAACAAGAACTCTTCTGTCAGAAGTTGCAACAGTGTTGTGTACTGTTTGATTTCATGGACTCTGTTTCAGACTTGAAGAGCAAAGAAATTAAGAGAGCAACACTGAATGAACTGGTTGAGTATGTTTCAACTAATCGTGGTGTAATTGTTGAATCAGCGTATTCTGATATAGTAAAAATGGTAAGCCTCTAGACTTATGTTCCTCAGATTTATATAAATTCAAGTAAGATCTGAGGTGTAAATGTGAATTAATAAGTCTTATTTAAGTGTACAATAATTGCTTTGCTCAATAGATAGTCCATTTGAAAGATTATCCATTCATTCCAATAATGCTGACATTGCTTATAATAGTTGGGGAATTCAATAGCCACAATGGCTGGTGGCTACCATACTGGGTAGTGCAGATGTAGAGGTTAGGAGAAAGATATAGGCTCAAGATTATACAGATAGTTAGATAATTGATGTTATGGGGCTTAATAGTCACTGAGAAAGTCTAAAGCAGCGGTTCTCAACCTGTGGGTCGCGACCATCAGAAAACACATATAGCATATCAGATATTTACATTACGATTCATAACAGTAGCAAAATTACAGTTATGAAGTAGCAACGAAAATAATTTTATGGTTGGGGGTCACCACAACATGAGGAACTAACTGTATTAAAGGGTCGCGGCATTAGGAAGGTTGAGAACCTCTGGAAGGGAGAAGAGAAGCCCAATGGAAAACTATGGGGCTCTCCACATTTCAGTGGTGGATAAAGGAGTCAGGCCTAAAAAAAAATTCTTTATATTTTCTAATACATTAGGACATTTTTCAATACAATATTTTTAGTTTCTATAACACTTGAATTTTAATCAAAACTCAGGATAAGAAATTAAATAATATAAATGTTTAAAATATCTAATGCGAAAAGTACTGCCAACTTTGGTAAAGCAAGATTGCTTAGGATACTATTTCTTGATAATTCAACCTTATTCTCCATCAGACAATAGACATTTGTTTAGAATTTGTGATTTTTGTATGTATACTAACAAAATACAGAAAAATCAGTTAAAATAATTAGTCATTGAGTACATAATTTAAGCTTAAGTGTCTCTAGAGTATAGAATTTTTTATATAGCAAGTATAACATATAGTTGCCTTCATTTCCTTCCCCTTTCCTACTATATGTTCTGGGGGAAGAGCAAAATGTGTAGGAAAGTTAAATCTCACCCTGATATACTAATTGGTTTTCTTTGTCACATTGTACTAAGACCAGTTAAAAGGACTTAGGACATTTTGGTGGATTTGTGTGTGTTTTTTAAATGAATAAAAGCCTTACATTTCTTTTTAAAAATATATATTTTGTTGATTTTTTTTACAGAGAGGAAGGGAGAGGGATAGAGAGTTAGAAACATCGATGAGAGAGAATCATTGAGGAGAGCTGCCTCCTGCACAACCTCTACTGGGGATGTGCCCGCAACCAAGGTACATGCCCTTGACCGGAATCGAACCTGGGACCCTAGTCCACAGGCCGACTCTCTATCCACTGAGCCAAACCGGTTAGGGCCCTTACATTTTTCTTTTAAAGATTAGGTATAGAGCCCTGGCTGGTTTGGCTTAGTGGATAGAGCATCGGCCTGGGGACTGAAAAGTCAAGGGCATGTACCTTGGTTGCGGGCACATCCCCCGGAGGAGGTGTGCAGAAGGCAGCTGATCAATGTTTCTCTCTCATTGATGTTTCTAACTCTCTATCCCTCTCCCTTCCTCTCTGTAAAAAATCAATAAAATGTGGTTGTTTTTTTAAAAAGCTAAAAAAAAAAAGATTAACTATGGAGAGAACATTAATTAAAATAAAGTTGGCTTTCTGAACTCCCAGAGACAGTAAAAGGTGATAGTTTGGGAACATAAATAGTAAATATTGATAGGCCTCTTACTTTGTTTTGTTTTTTATTTTGTGTTTATTGCTTAAAAACATTTTCAGGGAGAAAAGCAATATTCTCACCAATATTTCCTCTGATTTCAAATGGTTTGTATTCAGGAATTTTGAAAGTCCTGGTAAAGATACTTTATTTATCTATATGAAGTTGTTGACTTAGATATTATTGAAAGTACTCAAATATTTGAGTCAAATGATTCTGGAATTGCTATAGACTAATAAATTTTGGGATTTAATTTTTCTTGCCCATGTAAAAAAGTGTGTGTGGAGGGGGTGTGTGTATGTCTTTTTCTAAGTCTATGATTATAGTAATTGAATCAGTTTTTTTGGCTTACCATAGATGCCACTTCATAAGATGGTTGGAAATTTGCTTGTACCACCAAATACTCCTTGTTTCATCCTCTCTTCCCCAAATAGTTTAATCTCAAATGACCAACCCCTCAATACTATGGTCTTAAATGTTGACTAACCATTTGGTCTGTTAGTTTGTACATTCTTTAAATAATTGTGAGTTGGAACCACAATCTACTCTTTGCTAGAGAAAAAGGATATATAGTTTACCTTGGTACTGAGACAATGTGAAAGATGAAATTATAAATACTATATTTCATTGATGTGAAATGAAAACTCTCAAATCACATTCTGATTTCAGAGATTAATTTTTTAAAACGTCAGAATAGATGAAATACAGTAAATCATCATGAGGTATTATAAACCATGTCTATAATAGTAGTGAAGACATTCTACCACCTCCTTCCTCTTTTAGTGTGTGTGTGTGATATATATATATATGAATGGAAATACTTTACCAAACTCTTTGGGTTATAGGATAAGTAAATGGCTGGGTTAGAATATGGGGGGAGTTGTGGAAAGGTGAAGAGAATCAAGTTAAGGATAGGTCGAGTTAAGAACTCTATGCATTCCCCTCAAACTTCCTTCTTCTGACCAACTTTTTAAAAGCAAAACTTGGAAAGAACAATTTGTAATTTAAGGAAGAGGAATCCAGAGGTAATCTGTAATCTTCAATAGTTTGGCATCTGAAGAAGAATAGTTTGCATAGAGAAAAGAGAAAAACAAATACAGTACCTGACTTCATATTTTGAAGCGGTTTCTAGGTTTTTGAACTAAGCTTATAGCCACAACTTAACTTTTTTCTTAAATAAAGTTATCTTAAGAATATTTAATTTTGCATTGTTGAGTTCAATCACATAACAAAGAACATAAATCTAAATTTATTTTTCTTTACAGATCAGTGCAAATATCTTCCGTACTCTTCCTCCAAGTGATAATCCAGATTTTGATCCAGAGGAGGATGAACCCACACTTGAGGCTTCTTGGCCTCACATACAAGTATGGAACATAATTATGTATTGACAGTTTTTATATTTATTATATTCTGCTGAAATCATGGCGCGTTCTCTCTCTCTCTCTCTCTCTCTCTCTCTCTCTCTCTCTCTCTCTCTCTCTATTTCCCAAAATACTGCTTTTCACTTTTTAAAACTGTGATAAGATATACTTAACAGCCCTTGCGGGTTTGTCTCAGTGGATGGAGTGTTGGCCTGCAGACCATAGGGTCCTGGGTTTGATTCAGTCAAAGGCATGTACCTTGGTTGCAGGCTCAGGGCTTGTGCAGGAGGCAACCAATCGATGTTTTTCTCACATAGATGTTTCTCTCTTGTCTTTCCCTCTCTTTGATCTCTCCCTAAAAAAAAAATCAATGAAAAAAAATAACCTCAGGTGAGGATTAACAAAACCAAACCAAAAATATACTTAACATTTGCCATTTGAATTGTTCTAAAGTGTACTGTATCTAGTTCCAGAACTTTTCATCAACCCAAATGGAACCTCCCTGGTCATTAACAGTCACATTCTATTCCACCACCCCCACTGCCCCTGATAACTACTCATCTGCTTTGCCTATGGACTTGCCTGTTCTGGGTATTTAAAATCATATAATATGTAACCTTTTGTGTCTGGGTCCTCTCATTTAGCATAATATTTGCAAGGTTAATCAGTGTTGTAGCATGCATCAGCATATAATTTTTAATGGCTGAATATACTCCATTCATTTATCCATTAATCACTTGATAGACATTAGGGTGGTTTCTACTTTTTGGCTACTGTGATTAGAGCTGTTAAGAACTTTTGTACAAGTTTTTGCTTTAACGTTTTTTGCCCATAGTTTTGATACATTGTGTTTTTTGTTTCATTCATCTCAAAATATTTTTCTAATTTCCCTTGTGATTTCTTTTTTGACTCATTAGTTAATTTGGGATGTGTTTAATTTCTACAGATTTGTGGCTCCCACATTTGTTATTGATTTCTAATTTTATTCCATTGTGGTTGGATAATAAATATAATTTGAGTGTTTTCAGTCCTTTTGAGTTTAGAGGCTTGTTTTATGGCAGAGCAGTCTATCCTGGAGCATGTTTCATGTGTACTTCAGAAGAATGTGTATTCTGTTGCTGTTGGGTGGAGTATCCTATAGAAATGTTAGCTCTTGTTTGTTTATAATGTTATTTAAGTCTTCTATTTCCCTGTTGATCTTCTGTTTAGTTCTATCCATTATTGAAAGTGAGATATTGAAGTCTCTAACTATTGTTGTTAACTCATCTATTTCTACCTTCAGTTCTATTAGTTTTTGCTTTATGTATTTCTGGGGCCATATTGTTAGCTACATGTATTTATAGTTGTTACATCTTTCTTATGGGTGGCTTTTATCATTATAACTTTAGTAAGAGGTTCTGTGTTTATTTTGTCTGATATTAGTATGGCCATTCGATTCTCCTTTGGCTACTGTTTGCATGATATATCTTTTCCATTCTTTTACTTTTAATCTGATGATTTCTTTGAATCTAAATTGTGTTTCTTGCTGAAACCGTTTTGGCTCAGTGGATGGAGCATCAGCCTGCGGACTGAGAGGTCCCAGGTTCGATTCTGGTCAGGGGCATGTACCTTGGTTGTGGGCACGTGCCCAGTTGGGAGTGTGCAGGAGGCAGCTGATCGATGTTTCTAACTATCTTCTCCCTTCCTCTCTGTAAAAAAATCAATAAAATATTTTTTTAAAAATAAAATAAATTGTGTTTCTTATAAACAGCATGTGGTTGGATCATGGTTTTTTAAAAAATCAATTTTGACAATATGTCATTTGACTGGAATATTTAATACACTTTCATGTAATGTAATTTCCAGATAGGGTAGGATTTGCATCTTCCTTTTGTCATTTTCTATATGTCTTACATTTTTTTTGTTCCTTTACTCCTCCTCCATTACTGCCTTTTATAATAAATAGGTATTTTCTACTGTACTATTTTATTTTAACTGCCATGTTTCTTTATAGTTTTTTATTTATTTTCTTAATGGTTACCCTAGGGATTGAAATTAGCATCTTAAAACAATCTAGTTTGGTTGAATACTAGTTCAGTAATGCTCAAAACTTTGGTCCAATATATACCTCCATTGCCATCCCACTCCTTCGTGGGATTATTGTCAGAAAAATTAGCTCTTTATACATTATACTAGAGCCCAGTGCACAAATTTGTGCATGGGTGGGGTCTGGCCGGCCCACCCCCATCGGGGCCAATCGGGCTGGGGAGAGCGACCCACACCCTGATCAAATGCCCAGTCAAGGGGACAATTTGAAAAATTAAGGTATTTTTATCTGCCTATGGAAATTAACAGTGGAAATTCAGCCAAATAAACAGTATGCTCTCTATTTTTACTGATATGGTTTGAGATTTTAAATAAATTTTCTGAAACTAATAGTTCTTAACATTTTAGGAGGTGGTGAATTGCTTTCAGAATAAGATTTTTATAAGTTTAGTTTTCTCCCCAAATACACAGATACACGTGTAAGAAATTTACATTCATTCATGATCCCCTGACTCAAATGCTCTGCCCTAATTACATACACACACACACATATATTTATATATATACACACACATTACAGTTCTAAAATTTGGCCATTAGATGGTTAGGAACTCAGAAACTACTGAATAAGCTGATTTATAGATTTGTCAGTATATTGTTGCTATGTCATTACTTAATTGTCTTTTTTTAGAATGGAATATTAAAACTGCTCTGATAAATGGGAATATGGAGAGTTGCAGCACTGAAGAAATTTGTTCAAGGAAAGTTTCTTTCCTTGTTGTTAATGTACTTCGAATCAATTCACCAAAATTATTTGTTTTATACTAAAAGTTTACATTTAACTTATTAAATCCTTGATGCTAGAAATTAATTTGACAGGACGAAAAACAAACATTAAAGTATGAGAGAATAAGTGCATGTAATTTCAAAACCTTTCAAATTTCTGTTCCTCTCATCCTTTTCATGAATTTCCTAAAAATGTACTAATTTTCAGTATCTCTATTATCTCAGTATCTAGTATTTCAGTATCTCTACTACTATCTCTTTACTTTTTCATACTGTAATGGAAATGCTAATGAGCAGTGGAAGAAGGGACAAAAGAAATGTCATTTTAGTAGTTGGAGATTAGTCGTATCTTATAGTATTTCATGATTATTAATGAGCAACAGTTTTTTCCCCCTAAGTATTATTGCTTTATATTTATTGAGGACCAACAAGAGTAATTTTCTGCCCTGGCCTGTGTGGTTCAGTTGGTTGAGCGTAGTCCCATGCACCAAAAGGTTGCTGGTTGGATTCCCAGTCATGGCACATGCCAGGCTGTGGGCTCGATCTCCAGTAGGTGGCATGCAGGAGGCAGCTTATCAATTGATGATTCTCTCTCAAATGAATAAAACACGAACTCTTGAAAAAAAAAACGGTAATTTTCTGTATACCTTTTAGATCAGGGGTGAACCTTTTTTCTACCAAAGGCCATTTGGATCATTCAAGGGTTATACAAAATTATCAATTTAAAAATTAGCCTGCTATATTTGGTTAGACATTTAATTACGTCACCCCTAATTGCCTCAGCAGGGCCAGACCAAATGATTTTGTGGGCCAGATGTTCCCCACTCCTGTTTTAGATAATTAGGGGAGGCTTGCCTGCTGTATTGGCCTGGAATACAGGCAGCTTGTGCATTATTTTTCATTTTTTATCACTACTTTAGTGGCACAGATATGTGGCCTAAATGTTTATTGAATGACTATTTTTACTTCGGGATCGAATCCTCTTTTTTTATTTTTAGGGTGCCAGATTGATATATAGTTTAATAACTAATAAGTTGAGGTACATTTTGGACTATACTTCTGCCTTTCATAGCTGTTAGATTACAACAACAACAAAAAACTTTAGTGTATTTGCCTTTCTCCTTGAAAGATAGAGTAGGTGTAATGGAGGCAGGTTGACTGGATAGTATTTTTCTGATTTGTGGCAGTAAGTGAACGTTTGCTATTACTTTTTAAAATATATATTTTTTTATTGATTTCAGAGAAGAAGAGAAGGGAGAGAGAGAGAGAGAGAAACATCAGTGATGAGAGAGAATCATCGATCGGCTGCCTCCTGCACACATACTACCCCCCTCCCCCCCCCAGGGATCAAGCCTGCAACCCAGGCATGTGCCCTGACCGGGAATCGAACTGTGACCTCCTATGAAAATAGGTCAGTGCTCAACCACTGAGCCACACTGGTCGGGCTTGCTGTTACTTTTAAGATCCTGGCACTTTTTAAGTAGAAGGCCTGATGTAACTTCTTGTTTACTCACTGTGGTGAACAGACATTCCTTCCTGAGCTCTGTATTTCTATAATTTGGTTCATTATTTCCCAAGTGTGGATAAGGTATGCTGGCTTCAATTTAACTCTTTTCCCCCTACTATAGTTTTAAATAAAGACCTGAAAATTTTTTATTTTACTTTATTGTTATTCATACGTTGCCCCTTATAATCCTGTTTATTCTTATCTGGATGGAGTTTTTTATTCTGTATTTAACAAACTCTGGAGATTAAATTGAGGTAGTTTAGTGGTCCACTGGAGAAAGAATATTTTCCCAGTGAATATGGGCTGCAAAGTAGTCTTCTTAATTAAATATTTAATAGGCACCATGTTTATTTTCTAGCTCCTGTAATTTAACATTTCAATGAGTGATGTAAAGCAATAAACAATTCTCAAAATTTACAGCTTATGAGACCAAATTGTGTGTATTTAGTTTTAAAAAACTGTTACAACTTGTTTCTTTTCTGAGATCTGAAATTTCCCTACTTGTTGGTAAGGGAAGTGTGGTTTTGGTATGACATTAACTTAGGGTAATATTTTTTGGCATCATCTTAACTTTTATTTAATTTTCTCTCATAGTTGGTATATGAATTCTTCTTAAGATTTTTGGAAAGCCCTGATTTCCAGCCTAGCATTGCAAAGCGATACATTGATCAGAAATTTGTACAACAGGTAAGGCATTCTTATGTCTTAATGATTTATTAAGTTGTGATTAAAATAAAATAGTCTTTCAAAACTTTAATAGTTTATTTCAATTTTAACAGCAGTTACTATTCTTGCCAATTAGGATAAAAATTAAGTAGCTTTGAGAATGCAAGAGTATTTTAAAGAGAAAGGATTAACTTCAAACGAAGTCAATCAAATTAACCTATCCAATCCTAGATTCCCAGTTATTTTGTAAAGATCAGAAAAGCAAGCCTTTCTGTAACACCTAACTGAGAAAATTTGGTATGACAATTATACACCTTTTAATTTTAATCCTTTGAACTTGAACTTGACATGTTTTAAGCATTGTGATGTTGAAATGACAGGGGAAAATGGAAATGGGGTCATTCTTAGCAATTGGGCCGTTAGACTACTTTCCCGTCATAAAAGCATCAATTACCTTTCCCTGTTCCTTTCCCCTTCCTTCCTTGGGCATTCCAGTCATCCAGTTCCTAAACCACAGATAAAATAGGACCTTTAAGAAGAAAAGGAATAAAGTTAAACATATGTGACACCTTCTTTCTTTATATAAATTGGTTATTAGTTCTTTTTGGAACCTACATCCTCAAAATTAATTTCTCAAAATGTGATCATTTTTATTTTCAAAATCTTTTTTAACAATATAAAGGCCTCTTTTTAACTATGTAGAATTGGCTGGCCCTAAACAAAATTGTGAGGTAGACCAAATTTTTCTCTTTTGAAATACTTGTAGGTATGTAAGTATCAGGAATTTGAGTTATTTGCATTTTAAAGAAAGATAAGAAGATGGATAAAAGGGAATCAGTGAACTCACTGCTGAGGCCAGGATTAAAATTATTACAAGAACCCTTCCTACCCTCTCCCACCATGTGTATTCCCTATGATAAAGATTCTATAAACAAGAGTTACACATGTTTGGAGTTCATTTTTGGTTATTTATAACTATCCCTGACCCTCATATAAAGTATTCTAACTGCTGTGAATATATTGATAAAGAACTTTGTCAAGAATATGTCCTTCAGCCATTTAAGTAGCTCTTCATGAATTGTGAAGAAATATTAGGTGTGTGTTAACAGGTAAAATGTCTCTTTCATTCACAAGTAAAAATCAGATTAAATGAAACTGTTATTTTGATGATTGCAATTGAATGCATATTTATCTTTTGTAGCTCTTTTGTGCTACAGAAAGAATCTATCTAATCTAATAATAGACAACCATGGTAATTGACCATACCTTCACTACGCCTCCCATGGACTAATTAGCATAATATGCAAATTAGCCGCCAACAAAGATGGCGGCTAATTTGCACACTGCAGGCAAATCCCACTGCGCTGCCCCAGGGCGAGATCCTGGCCTGCTGTGTGCAGGCAGGGCAGGCAGCAGCATGATCTGAGCTGCTGCCCATCCCAGCGTGGGATCTGGGCCTGCCATCTGCAACCGGGGGAGACGGGGCAGACACTGTGGGATTGGGTGTGCCATCTGCCACCAGGGGAGCGGGCCTAAGCCAGCAGGTGGTTACCTCCCAAGGGGTCCCAGAGTGTGAGAGAGCACAGGTTGGGCTGAGGGACCCCCCTCCCCTGCCAGTGCACAAATTTTTGTGCACGGGGCTTCTAGTATGTATATAAAAGCCTAAGTGACCGAACCACCAGTCGCTGTGATGCACACTGACCACCAGGGGTCAGACTCTCGCCGCAGGAGCTGCCCCCTGGTGGTCAGTACACTCCCACAGCAGGAGCGCCGCTCAGCTGACCAACAGGTGCCAGATGCCAGGCTCAGATGCCAGAAGAGTACGAACCTCATCTGCCTCCGCGGCAAGACACCAAGCGGTGGCGGTGGCAGGCGCAGTGGGGATGGGATGAGCGGGAGCGGTGCAGCACCCGGCCTGGGCTCAGACTCCTCCCTGGCTGGGCTGGCCTGCGAGGATCAGGCCAAAACCGGCAGTCCAACATCCCCCAAAGGGTCCCGGATTGCAAGAGGGTGCAGGCCAGGCTAAGGGACCCCACAGGTGCACAAATGAATGCACTGGGCCTCTAGCATCTGTCTATATAAGAGGAATATGCAAATTATCCAGGACACTATAACGTCACAACTGAACAGCAGAAGGGACCTGAGGCTGCATGGTGCCTGGCTGGGGTGAGGGACCTCAGGCCACGCCCTCTACCCCCGCGCCAGGCCAGGAGACCTCAAGCTGTGCCACTTGACTGGCGGGGTTGACAGGGACCCTCAGGCCATGCCCCCCGCCCTGGCGCCGGGGGACCTAAGGCTGTGCCCCCCGCCTGGAGGGGCTTGACAGGGCTGGGGCAGGCTGGGTCTGGGTCTCCTGCGTTTTTCAAGTGTGTGCCGGTCGTGGGCGGGGACTTAACTCTAGGTCCCATAGCCCTGACAGGAGGGAGATTTTCATATACATTTTACTAATTTTATCTCTCACACTTCTATTATAGAGAAGGGGCAAATAGCAATATTAAAATATTTCCTCTAGTTCCCTTTTAATGTGCACAAATTTTATGCACCGGGCCACTAGTAGTATAATAAGGAACTCTAGTAATGCCATATTAAATTGTATTTAAAATAATAGCAGGTTGAGAGGAACAAATGCCTTAATGTTTCCTCAGTCTGAAACTTGAGGCATTTTAGTTGCTGAATTATTCAGTAGATTTTAAGGGGAACAAGAATAAAAACTAGTATAGTGGGACCCATTTTCCACCTTAACTCTAAATGCCTGAATTAGCTGAGAAGCCAAGGCCCAGTCATTTGTTTTCTAGCAGTTTGTATGACTGCTTTCACAGATCACTTCACTGAGGTATTCTTAGTGTGTTGTTCTATTACATAGTATGTATGGGGATTCTCTGCTTTTGCATTTTGAAATTATTTGATTAGGTGATAAATATTAAGTCTTAGAGTCTAAGGTATAAATTTGGACAATTCATTTTTTTAAGAGAAGAAAATAATTGTGTAGTTTCAGGTTATGTTCAGATCATAGAGTTTCAGAAGAAGGAAGGAAGGTAAGAATTATTGAGTACATTTTATGTGCCAAGCACTGTCTATATAGATAGAGCTTGACTATGTCTAGTTTCAGTCAGATGGCACAATCAGGATTTGAAGTACACTCTCTGACCTCTGACCTTCTCTTAAAAAAACAAAACAAAATTGGTTTCAATCTTTCTCATTTTATCAATGAAGAAATAGGCTCATGGGTTATAAATTACTCTTATAAGCACAGTTAAATAAAACTATCAGTGCCAGAATAAGAAAGTTTCCTGAGTACTAGTTTTGTGTGTGTTTCATTGTGTTAATATTATCTCAATAAATGTATTTAGATTATAATATTTCAAAATAGGTTTCTTTAAATAGATTTGACACTTAGATAACAACTGTTCTCTAGTTAAATATTTTCCCCAAGGATCAACTTGAATTAGGCATGACCACCTTAATTAAGGGCCACTTTTATTAATTTGAAAGCATATTTTCCAAGTAACCCATCATCAAAAACTTGCATATGTGTGTTAAATGAGCAGTTTAGTCATTTTTTTAAAAATACATATTTTATTGATTTTTATAGAGAGGAAGGGAGAGAAATAGGGAGTTAGAAACATTGATGAGAGAGAAACATGGATCAGCTTCCTCCTGCACACCCCCTACTGGGGATATGCCCGCAACCAAGGTACATGCCCTTGACCAGAATCCAACCTGGGACCCTTCAGTCCACAGGCCGACGCTCTATCCACTGAGCCAAACTGGTTAGGGCAGTTTAGTCATTTTTAATTAGAATAATTTGAGCTGAATTTATTAGGTATATTAACACAAATTCTCATGTTCCAAAGATGGTTTTACTGGAGCCTCATACAGTACTTCCATAAGCTCGTGAACAAAGAGTGCAAACTAAGTAGACATTTGTTTAGGGGAATATAAACACGACAAAAGGCATCACTATCCACAAAAAAATACTCTGTAGAAGAGTTACATATGTACACAATTACATGTAATTCAGGACAGAATGGAAAAAGAACTTCCAATGAGGTTCAGAGCTTGCTATCTTAACTGTAATTATCAATACTTAAGTGCAGAACATAAAATTCCTTGACAACTTCATTCTTAAAGAGAGATTATAATTTTTCCTAAGAAACTCCAGCTACAGTAATATGTTTTTGGCAGAAGAAATTCAGTTTACCACTTTAAAAATGTGAGCTTTTGACTTTTTTTGAAGATCTCATTTATTCTACCTTTGCTAAAGAGTTGTGTAAAGGTATAGGAAAATGATGATTTGGCCAATTTGAACTGGCTTAAAATTTTCCAGCCATTTTAGAGAGAAAAGGAGAGAGTGAAACATCGATGTAAGAAAGAAACATCAATTGGTTGCCTCCTGTATACACTCTGGGTATGTGCCCTGACCCAAAATCAAACCATAACCTTTTTTGGTGTATGAGATGATACTCCAACCAACTGAACCACCTGGCCAGGGTTGCTTAGCTGACTTTAAATCAAAATCTGTGGTCTTATCTTTACAGTGTTATTTCATGAATGATTTCCACACTGTTAGCATATATCTACAATAATTTATCCTATTAACTAAATACTAATTTTTGAGCTATTGGCATGGTGACTTAAAATTTTTTTGTGTCAAATCACAAGAAAAGCCTTGATTTGTGTGCATCTTTTTAGTAAATCGAAAATACACATGTGCCACATGTATTTTAACTTCATTTAATGACTTGCAATCTACAAGCTTTAACATTTTTGTATGTAATTTTGACTATCAAAAAGTATTAAAAACTCTTAAATTTCAAAACTATAAAGTATGGGCCATGTTTAGTAGTTAAGAGTGGGATAGAATTTTAAAATGAGTGGCAGGGCAAAAAAAGTGCACTTTTTGAAGTGTTTATATTATTTATTGTGTCATTTTTTGAAATGAAGTAAGTGAAGAGAAATTCTCCCTAAGCTTTTCTTTAGCTTCACTAGTTAGCAAGACTAAAACCAATATGATAAGGCAGAATCTTTAAATTTAAAAAAAAGGTTTCATGGGTTATCTAAAATCAGTATTAAAATAAAGTGAAGTTTTAGCTTGATTATTTTTAAAAAGTAATTTCTCAGCTTTTTTTTAAAGCTCCTGGAACTTTTTGATAGTGAAGATCCCAGAGAACGTGACTTCCTGAAGACTGTTCTGCATCGAATTTATGGGAAATTTCTTGGACTAAGAGCATTCATCAGAAAACAAATTAACAACATTTTCCTCAGGTAAATTGGTCATATATTCATATATGGTACTTTTTATCCCCTTTCATATTTTCTTTTTATTCCAGTTGCTTTAGGTTAACTTTTAACATCTGAAATTGGAACTTTAACTGCTAGTATTTGAGTCATGTTTAGCCCATTTTGTGGACATCATTTGATTGCCTCTAACTTTGTAGAAATTTATAACCTACTTTTCATCTATGTGGATAATAGTAATGAAGTTTTTAATAGGTAATACTAATGTTATTCACATGTAAGATTTATTGTGAGGAGAATTGGTCTATTTCCTTGAGTTTTTTTGTTTGAAAAATTTTTAAGAACTATTTAAATCAGTAGCTCTTGGAAGTACTTTCATTTGATTTTCTGATAAAGGTAATTAAATTTATATGGGATCTATTTTTTTGGCTACTTTATAAGTGATAGTCTATTTTAGTTTCACTTTAATACCCACACTTCAGGTTTGGTATGTTTGTTTTTAAATTGAAGATCTGGCAAAATTAGGCTAGCATTTCCACATGGTAACAACTACAGAAAGAGCATCTCTCTCCAGTTCTGTGCCATCCTCCCCCTGTCCTGTGTTTCTTTGAATTTGCCTCCCTGCTTTAAGGGTGATCTTAATCTTGGAAAGCTATGCCGCCTGTGTAGTTTAGGTTTAGAGAATTCTGGATAATGGTGGCTTTATTATATGTGAGTTCCTTTCTCTTGGATTTTCCTATTTTAAAAAGTATTTCCTCGAGGAAGCACATCTTAAAAAATTTTTAAGTAAAATAAAATATTCCAGGTGAAAAAATATTATCTTAACATATAGCAAGTTTTAACAAAAGTATATGCTTAAATATGAAATATTTAAAAGTATCTGGTTTAGCTCTGGCCAGGTGGCTCGGCGGTTGGAGTGTCATTCCACATACTAAAAGGTTGTGGGTTTCATTCCCTGTCAGGGCACGTGAGGGAGGCGACCAGTCAATGTTTCTCTCCTCTCCCCTCCCCCCCAAATCTCCTCCTTTTCCTAGCTAAAATCAATAAACATATGCTTGGGTGAGGGGGTTTTTTTGTTGTTGTTTTTTAAGCATCTGGTTTAGTAGGAAATAGACTTTCTTTTATAAGATTGCTGAGAAGTAACTGATTGGGGCAAAAACGTTTACAAGGAATTCTTACAACAGTCTTGTACAGTTCTTATAGTTACCCTTGGGGCTTTATTTCTGCCTTTCTCTTAGTTTTCTGATATTTTATTTTTCATTACATCTATATTTTAAATTCAGGTTTATATATGAAACAGAACATTTCAATGGTGTTGCTGAACTCCTGGAAATATTAGGAAGGTAGGTCAGTTTTGTGTTTTGTTTTTTCCTTGTTCTTTTTAAAAATTAAGTAACTTTGAATGTTTTATGTGTTAAAATCTTAGCTGGGGGTAGAGAAATTATCATATTTATATATAGACTGCAAGACATCGTTTCTCAACTGAATTCTTATTATAGTTTTTTTTGGAGGGTCAGCATTTTTAAAGTACTGCCATGCAAGACATCTGTTTCAGAATAGGCTTCTTGCATTTGAAGCTGTGGCATGTTTTATGCCTTATCTTGCCAGACTGCCTCAGAAATTTATAGGTTCTGATTGGGAAGAGATGAAATAAGCTACAGTGAATCTTTTGATGAAGTTATAAGAATTCTTGTTCATATGTTGATAGACCATTCCTAATCCATCTGTTCTTTTTAGAAGAATCTACAGCCTTTTAGTTTACATGAACATTTTGCCTTCCTTATTAACTTGAGAAACGTTTAGACCCCTGTATTTGTACTAGAGGAAGCTAAAATCTTTAGTAGTTAACAGAATGACTATGAAGAGAATTACTTCTTAGTTTAAGATCCTTCAATAAAATAAGAGAAACAACCCATTTACTTCAGAAATATTAAAAATTCTTATTGTGATACTGATTCTGGCTTTAGGGAGGGAAAAAAAAGGCAACAGTGTATAAAGTGCTGAGCTTATGTAGGACATGCAGATAGAAATTACTCGCTGGAGCATTAATTGGTAGTCCTAGTTGACTTTTGGATCATTGAATGACTTAAAAACTTAATAGCAATAGTCTGCCTAAAGTAGTTTGAAGATGAGCAAGTAATTCAACACCAGGATTAAAGCAGAGCACAGTTCCTTATGTACGAATGGATATAATAACTTTTAGAAATAAAGTAGTAACTACTTAACCCTTCCCCCTGCCTTTTTTTCCCTCCAGTATTATCAATGGCTTTGCATTGCCACTGAAAGCAGAACATAAACAATTTCTAATGAAGGTTCTTATTCCTATGCATACTGCAAAAGGATTAGCTTTGTTTCATGCTCAGGTAAGCTTCAGAAAACTTTAAAGTGAAATGAATTATTGTTTCAGAAACTGATATAAAGGCAGAGAAATTGAGAAGTACTGAGATGGCAATTTTAAGTGTACTTAAGCAATTTTCTTTTTAAGTTGCCGAAAATAAAATTTTATAATTTAAAATATTATTTTTAGTGTTATTAAATAAGGTCAGTGCATATTGAGTATAGACATAGGAAAGAAAATGTCAAGCTCTTTTCTAGTCTAGGCCCTGACCTAATTAACTAAATGGCATTGAATAAATCCCACATAACTGCAGTGTTCTGTTTAGCTGCAATAACCTAGTCTCCTCGATTACTACTTAGAGAATAATATATCAGCATGGCATACATGCTGAAAAAGTAAAATGTTAAGCTCTAGTCTTATTTCAATTAACTTCATATTCAGAAGTTCCTTTCAAGGTGAAACATTTACACAATTGTGAGTATACTAATTTTTATATAGTATTGAGATTAAGCTAGAGTAAAATTCATCAAAATAAGGTAATCGTTTTTGTTAGTTAAATATAAAAACCCTGCATCACTAAATGTTACTTCACTCAGTAATATTTATAAACTGTCCCTTCCATTTTAGTTAGCCTACTGTGTTGTACAGTTCCTGGAGAAAGATACAACACTAACAGAACCAGTAAGTGGTCTATTTATTTTTACGTTTTGGGTCTACATTGGAGCATTTCATTGTACCTTTCTTAATACTGTTATATACCTTTACAGAGTTATCAACAGTAGTAATAATGTACTTTAAACTAAAATCATTGACAAGGAATGAGAGGTTAATCTGCATTCAAAGAATAGGATTAGAAACAGGAGTTCTCATGAGTTATGTGTCTTGAATAACTTAAATATAAATTAATATTAACATAGTAGTTGAGATGACTGCACTAAAATTTTATAGAGATATCTTCACTGATAATTTTTAATCTTCATTTACCTTTTAAAATTAAAACATACTGAGGAAGCCCCAAAATTATTCCCTTGAGTTTTGTTTTGTCTTTTCAAATAGGGTTTTCCCTCTTATTAATGACAAACCACATGATTGGGATTGTAAACATCTCCTTGCCTTTGGAGCATAAGATATAATCTTGGAATAAAGGTTGTTTATGAATCAGCATAATAATTCACTATTTGAATTCTGCTTACTATTTGACTATCATATGAAGATTCAGGAAAAAATAAAAATGTTATGAAAATTAACTGAAGATTCAAGAAAAACAAAAGATGGTAGGGAGAAATAGGCAAGTATAAAAGAATAAAAAACCTTGGTGAATTAAATTTTGATAGTACTTTCTAGGTATCCTAAATCTGAATATTTAAACTAAGAGTTTTTGAAGTATTGCAGAAGATTTCAAGGATTTAAACTGCTATCCCTAGGTGTGGTTGGAAAACTTATGTATTTAGAATTCTCCCTTTGATTTGACCTTTGCATGTGTAATGGAACAAAATATGCTTTTCCCACTCCCTTATATTTTGATTTTTTAGACTTGCAGTTATTTCTGAAAACAGCTAAAAATACTTTTTAAAGACAAATCAGAAGAATTAGAAAGCCCAGTCTGTACATGAAGCCACATTAAGTTTCTAAAGTGGATTAAAACTTAATACAAATCCATAACTCTCATTAAAATTGAGACAAAGAAAGCCTGTAACATAACTGATGGTTTATGTTGGTGAATAAGTAAACAGATATAAGTTAAACATATTAAATGAACATGGGTGGCTAGGGGAGATGATTTCTTTTTAAAGATGGATGATGGCCAGAAATCTGGCTTAGATGAGTTGGGTTAATGGAAATAGAAGCAGGATGAGGAGATAATAATGTAAATGTCTAAGTTGACAAAGAAAAATATGTTTCAAGTCATAAAGATCTGTAGATATGAGAGATCTTACAGTTTCTACCATAGGCTATTCCAGCACCAAAATTATGACCATGTTACTTGGGTCTCAGCCTTAATATTCATTTCCTAGAAACCTGGCATTCATATCAAAGCTTCCTAAAAATTATAAATAAGCTGTGGCTAGTTTTTTATATTCCATTTCTGTTTATGAAAGTAATGTGTGTTAATTTGGTTCACATAATACAAAATCAGAAAGCACAATGTGGAGGTAAACACAAGTGAACATATTTCTACAAAATTTTTGTACATTTATGTGTAGATTAAATAAATGGTGCGACAGTGTTGTTGTTTTCATCTCAATATAATGTGAAGTGTAATATCTTTCTATATGAACCTGATTTTGTTCACTGGTAGCGTCAGATTCCGTTATGGATTACCCTAACATATTTAATCTTCTATTAATGGGCACTTCAATTATGGCAGTTTTCATTGTTACAGTCGTGTTGCTGGGTGAAGGGGTGCTTTAGGGGGTTGGATTTGTGCTGTGTCCTGTCTGTGGTTTTGGTTACAAAAAAAAAAAATCTGTGTCTAAAACCCTCAGAACAGTATACCAAAATAAGAAAAATTTTACTGCAAGTAAATTTGTTAAACCAATTAGCCAAAGAATACATGGAAATTTTAACATGTTCTAAGTTGTCTTCCACAGAGTTTGAACAATTTAGATGCCTGTTTTCTATCACCCTAGCAGGATATTAAGTTTTAAAATTTTTGCTGATATTAAAATTTGTTAGTTTAATAGATATTAAGTATTTTCATTGGCTTCTTCATTATCACAGGGATTGAGCTATCCTTTTATATGGTTATTGGTCATTTATATTTGTGTCCTTTTTATCCTTTTCCTATATTTTGCAAATATTTTTTGTCCATTTGAAGTGTTTCTTTAATTTTGAATGTAGTTTTTAACTAACTTTGCCTTAAAGAATTAAAAAAAAATTTTATGTAATGGGATGTATTCATCATTATGGCTTCTGGCCTTACCGACATACTAAGAAAAACCCTTATTATACCCTTTGAGATGATCAAAATATTCTGTAGTATTACATTCTGATTATTTTATGGATTTAGTTTTTATCTATAAAAAACTTTATCCCATCTATAATTGTTTCCTAGCACTGCCATGACGAATTACCACAAACCTGGTGGCTTAAAATAACAAATTATTCTCTCACAGTTCTGAAGGCCAGAAGTCCAAAATCAAGGTGTCAGCAGGGCTTCATTCTCTCCAGATGCTCTAGGGGAGAGTCCGTTCCTTGCCTCTTCCAGTGTCTGGTGTCTCTAGGTTTTCCATGGCTTATGGCTGCATCTCTCCAATCTCCCATTGCTGCCTCTTCTGTCTCTGTGTCTCTTAAAATGACATTATTTGTTGGATTTAGGGCCCACCCAAATAACCCAGGGTGACTTTAACCCCTTCCCCGGCAGAAACGTGTATACTCGTTTTCACAAAATGTTCTTTTTCAGTCGTCGACGAGTATACTAAGAAAATATGGTAAAAAAATATGGTTTATAGGAAGATGAGTTACAAACTGTTTTCATAACCAGCATCAAAAATACTATATAGAACCAAAATTAAAAAATTAGTCTGAAAAAGAAACGTTTTTAACAAAAAAATTGTTGGGGAAGGGGTTAACTCTTAATTATATCTGTAAAGATCCAATGCCCAAATAAATCACATTCATAGATTCTAGAGGTTAGGGTACACATACAAACACCAACTGATATCGAAATTTGTGTGACAAGGGTAAGGAACTGTATTAGTTTTCTATTGCTGAATAACATTTAAAAATTTAGTGGCTTAAAACATTATCTCATAGTTTCTATGAATCACGATTCAGGCATGACTTAGCTGGGTCCTGTGCTGTAGAGTTTCTTACAAGAAGGCTGCAGTTGAGGTGTTGTCCAGCCTCATATATAAAGGCTCAGATGAGGAAGGATCTGCTTCCGAGTTCACGTGTTTGTCGAAAATTCAGTTCCTCAAGTGCTGTTGGACTGAGTGAGGGCTTCAGTTTCTACCTGGCTGTTGGCCACAAGCCACCCTCAAATCCTTGTCAACATGGGCATTTCCAAATATAGCAGCTTGCTTTACCAAAGTTGCAAGATGAGAAGGCTTTAGAATCTGCTAGTGGAATGGAAGTCACTAGGGCAGCCCACACAAAAGGATTACAGAAGACTGAATTCAAGAAGTAAAGATCTTGGGAGATTATTTTAAGTGTCAGCCTACCAAAGGAGCTACTTTTTTTTTTTTTTCTAAATGGTGAGCCACCAGTCTTAGGTACTACTACTTAATTGACTAATTCATCTGTTTCCCATGGAACTGAAATGCAACTTTTGTCATATATTTAAACCATATATATATTACATATATATATATATATGAGTCTATCTAGTTATAACTATATTTTATGTCTCTTCTGTCAGTTTCAATAATAATACCATCTTGTTTTAGTTGCTGGTATCAGTAGTTCAGGTTCCATTCCATTAATTTTCCCTCTTTTCCCTCCATCCCATTCATGGTTATTTGCTTACATTTATAGCTTTTAGAATAAGTGCTTCTAGTTTCGGAAAATAATCCATTTGGCGTTTGAAATTATATTAAATTTATAGATTAAGTATAGAAGAAATATTTGTACAATCTTGAATCATCTTATCTACTTAGTCTTTCATGATATTCAATGATGTTTTATAGTTTTCATTGTATAAATCTTAAACATTTCTTACCAATTGTATTCTTTTTGTACATTACTTTTTGTTATGAAAGGCACTTTCATTTGATTATCATTGATACTGTTTTATAAAGGTATATTGATTTTTATCTGACCATATATTGAATTTTTCTACTCATTTTAGTAATTTTTTTCTAACCATTTAGGAATAGTTATTTTAAAATTATAAAAATGTATAATTAATATATACTTAGACAAATATAATTCTGATATTCCTTTCCAAAGTTATTCATCAAAACCTTTTCATCTTACTGCATTAGCTCCAGCACAATGTTCTCTCCAGTTTTAATTTGAATGAGTGTTCTTCATTACTGGACAAGATCAATAACTATAACAGATCCTAAAAGGCTGTCAAAGATCTATATCCACAAAAGCACCAGGCCCAGATAGTTTTACAGCCTGGTTTCTAAGAAAGCATTGTATAATGCTTTCTGATAATGATGACTGATGGTTTCTGATAAGTTCTTAGTTCGGTCTTAGTAAAATTTTATCAGAATAATATTCAATAACTTCAAATTTTTTTGAGATATAATCTACAACTATGAGTTGAACCATCCTGGAATAAATTATAATTGGCCAGATAGTATTCTGTTAATATGCTGTTGGATTCACTTAGTTGCAAAAATTTGTATTAACTTAGTTTGGTTATCAAAATTATGCTATGAAATAAATTGGGGAGCTTTCTGGCTTTTTGGTGCTTCATAATAGTTTTAAATAAGAATTATTTGTCCCTTAGTTTCTCCCTAAAATAACCTATGCTCCTCAGCCCAGCAGTTATTATATTTCCCTTTATGGTCTTAGTAGTTAGTAGCACTTACTGCTATTGAAATTATTTTATTTATGTCTAATTGATAACTTACGTTGATCTTCCTGCTTCATGAAAATCATGAACAGTATCTGGTACAGAGGCATTCAGTAAACAAAATTAATAAAATCTGGAGATACACTTAGATAATACTTCAGAATGAATATTGGTATAATCACAATTACTTAAAATTTCCTGGAATTAACTAACTTCATTGCTTAATTCATGCTAAACTTTTCCTTTTGCAGGTGATCAGAGGATTGCTGAAATTTTGGCCAAAAACATGCAGCCAGAAAGAGGTAGGCTTGATTCACACATTAAAACACTGCTCTCAGGGCTATAAACCATGTTTCTTTTGTCCCTGCTACTGAGCAGGTTTTCTAGGGGATTTGAGAGACTTGATAGAATAACCTTAAAGTCCTTTTTTGTCCACTGAGATTAATCTCCTTTTAATGTTTTCTATATTAACATCATATAATTTGTCATGTTTCTTAAAAAAATTTTTTTAACCTAGGTGATGTTTTTAGGAGAAATTGAAGAAATCTTAGATGTTATTGAACCAACACAGTTCAAAAAAATTGAAGAGCCCCTTTTTAAGCAAATATCTAAGTGTGTATCCAGTTCTCATTTTCAGGTATGATGTACTCAGCAAAGTCATTTTTATTTTATATTATTTCTTTTCTCTTTTGTTCTTGACATTGATAAATATTTCTTTCAGGTTGCAGAAAGGGCGTTGTACTTCTGGAATAATGAATATATTCTTAGTTTGATTGAGGAGAATATTGATAAAATTCTGCCAATTATGTTTGGTAGTTTGTACAAAATCTCCAAGGAACACTGGAATCCGTAAGTGTCTAACTCATACATAAAGCTTATCCAGATGTGGAACTTATTCCAAGGTTAACATCACATAGTATATACCTTTATAAAGTGTAAATATGTTTGTACTTAATTTCAATTTAAAATTACAAATCTCCCTGAAGGTAGGACTTTATAGTATGACATTCTGCACCAGATCAGTATGTGGTCAGACCCAGCTAATATTTGTGGAGATGCACAAATGACTGCAAATGCCAAGTGGGGTTGACCTGCTGCTAATAACACTCTCATATCTGCAGGTAGCACTATGGCAAGGAGAAGCTGAAGTGCTTAAGGTCATATAAGTGATGCTTACATGGCATATATTCTAACTTCTATGACATCATGTTCGTTTTGTTTTTATTGATTTTTAGAAGGGAGAGGGATAGAGAGAAACATCATTGACTGGCTGCCTCCTGCACGCCCCCTACTGGCGACCTATTGTTTGCTGGGTCAGCACTCAACCGCTGAGCCACAGCAGCTGGGTTCGTGTCCTTTTAAAGCTGCTGTTACTCAGGGTCTGAGACTCTAGAGCTGATATGAAGCTAATCACAGCATTTTTAGTGAGAGTTTAATCTGAACATGATACATTGGTGAGGATAGGGTTTGGAATCAGACAAACCATCTCTACCACCACTGGTTATGTGACCTTGTAGCATTTCCTCTTTTCAACTCTAAAACAGATTGAGTGAACCAGCCAACATTTAACTACTTTCACAGATGATAGTGTTCCATTTCCTTTTAGAGGCATCAATAACCCAGCACTGGCTTATTTTTCGTTTTAGGACCATCGTAGCACTGGTCTACAATGTGCTGAAAACCCTAATGGAAATGAATGGCAAGCTTTTCGATGATCTTACTAGTTCATACAAAGCTGAAAGACAAAGGTATTTGACATTTTAAACTACATTTTAGGTTAGCTGAATGTAATTCAGTATAATAAGGTATTTTCTCCAAGGTAGAATTATCATGTTTAAAAAATCAATTGCATTAAGCATTATAATTTGAAAGTCTCAACACTTTTAAGTTATTTCCAGGTAAACTTCCCCTAATGGTTAGATTATGATTTTAATGTGAATCAGAAATCTTCTGTTGGTTTCTTTCTGAGCCTTAGACTTCATCAGTCTCATAGCACTATTTTATACAATTTGACTTTTTATATATTTATGAAAATCGTTGTCCCCATGGGCTTCCATAGTGAGTTTTACTCCTCATCTACTCCTTGCACAATAGGGTTTTTCTTAAGCTCCCCATTTAAACAGGTGGTATTTTAAAAGTCAGCATAGCCAAAACCGGTTTGGCTCAGTGGATGGAGCGTCGGCCTGCGGACTGAGGGGTCCCAGGTTCGATTCCGGTCAAGGGCATGTACCTGGGTTGCGGGCGCATCCCCAGTGGGGGGTGTGCAGGAGGCAGCTGATCGATGTTTCTCATCGATGTTTCTAACTATCTCTCTCCCTTCCTCTCTGTAAAAAATCAATAAAAT